CACTGAGCCATCTTATCAGCTATGCGCATGTTTCTTGAATTTTTTTCTCTTTTAAAAATTTTATTTTACATATATGGATTTTTTTTTTCATGTGCATGTTTGTATGTGTGCATGCCTGGTGCCCAGGGAGGCCAGGAGAGGGCGTTGTATCCCTTGGAACTAGAGGTATAGATGCTATGAGCTGCTGTGTGGGTGCTAGAACTCGAATCCAGGTCCTCTACAAAAGTAAAAAGCACTCTTAACCACTGAGCCATCTCTCCAGCTCCTTTTATTTTCTACTCTAGCCCAGGCTGACCTGGAGCTCACTGGGTAGACCATGCTGGCCTTGAACTCGTAGTCCTCCTGCCTCAGCCTCCTGAGTGCTGGCTGTACAGAGTGAACGAGTTCTAACTGGTCTCTTGATTTTAGGCAGTGCCTCCCAAAGTAGTAGAAAGACTTGCTGGAAGAGAAAGGGCCTTTGTAAAGTCTTGAGTGTGGCTGTAAAGAAACCAGAGGGCCCAGAGGTGAGGTGGCTGACACTGCTATTTATAAGTAAGGTTCCGGTATATGTTTCCAGCCACACTTGGGCCTTTCAGCCTCTATGTATGTTCCAGTCTGTCACTCAATTAGCTAATGGTTTCTTTAGTGCCATTATACATTGTAAGGTTCTTCTGGCTCAGTTTTTTTTTTTTTTTTTTAAGAAAATAATAGGGTGTTCTGTTCTCACTGGTTTAAATTTTTAATAGCTTTGCCAATTAAAAAGAACTTTCCCAACTGTTTATTATGAAATTCACAAATGTACAGAATTAAAAGGGTGATGGAATAAACACCCAGCGCTCCCCACCTTGATATCACACGTGACATTTCACCACATGCTTCATCTTCTCTGAATGTGGTGGATTAGTGTGTGATGTGTCTGTACACGGTGTGTGTGTGTGTGTGTGTGTGTGTGTGTGTGTGTGTGTGCATGAGTGAGTAGAAGCCAGAGGAATATATCAGGTGCTCTGCTCCATCACTCTCTTCCTTATTCCCCTGAGACGGAGTTTCCCTGGGTCTGGAGCCAGGCTGCCAACAAACCCCGGTCATCCTCTTGCATCGGCCCCGGGCAGTGCCGGGGTGGCAGGTGTGCAGTGCGCCTGGCTCTGAAAAGTTCCTTCTAATGTTGTTGTTGTTGTTGTTGTCATGTGCTTGGGTTATTTTGTCTGGATGCAAGTGTGTGTACCAAGTGAGTGCCTGGTGCCTGTGGAGGCCAGAAGAGGGTAATGGAACTACTGGAACTGGAGTGACAGATGTGAGATGCCACGAGGGCTGAGAATTGAGCCCAGATCCTCTGCAAGAATAGCCAGCTCTTAAACTGTGATACCCACATATCTGCTTTTTTTTTTTTTGGTGGGTGTGGGGAATCCCACTCAGGTCCTCATGCTTGTACAGAAAATGTTCTTACCTGCTAAGCTGTCTCCTAGCTTCCTTTGTGCATCTTTAAAAATTTAATTAATTAATTAATTAATTACAATTTATTTGCTTTGTATCCCCACTGCAGCCCCTTCCCTTGTCTTCTCCCAGTCCCACACTCCCTCTCCCTTCTCCCCTATGCTCTTTCCCTAGTCTACTGATAGGGGAGGACCTCCTTCCCTTCTATCTGACCCTAGCTTATCAGGTCTCATCAAAGCTGGCTGCATCATCTTCCTCTGTGGCCTAGTAAGGCTGTACCCCCCAGAGGGTGCATTTTTGTGTGTGAATTACTTGAAGGTAAATTGAAGCTATTCTGACTTTCTTTTTGGTAGCCTGCTCTCTCATAAAACCACATGAGAATCTGTGCAGATACTCTTACAGTCTGTCCCACCTCTCCCAAGTGTGTTCTTACAGGAGCTGGACGTGGTGGCTCCTGTCTAGCCTTGGCCTGGGTCTATAAGCCCTTGGCCCCCTTGTGATGGTTCTGTGGCTTGGGAGGTTTTAGGGAATTCGCTGCTGTAAGCTAAAGAAGTCCCAGAGAAAGGTGGAGTGACTACAAGAAAGTTAATGATGGCCTAGACTGGGGAAAGCTGTACATTTTAGCCTCTAGACATGAAGGTTAAGGTAGGTAGTGAAACTGGCAGCTTAGGAACTTCTAGTCTCTTCACAAGTGTCCCCTGCTGAATGTGCTGTGATTGCTCTCATTTGCCACCGAGGGAACCAGTGCGAAACTTGTGACTTGCAGAGTCACAGCTCTTTGGCAGTGGCATTGAGATTGAGTCCACAGTGCTTGCCCACACCTGCCTTCTCAGCCCCATGCTGCCTGTTAGAGATAGGAGGGACACTTTCTGGCTTTAAATCAATCACATAGAAAACAGCACCCCCAAGACAAAACAAAACATGTATCATTTCATATCTCCTTTCTTTTCTTTCTGCATTTTTTCAGGCAGGGTTTCTCTGTGTAGCCCTGGGTGTCCTGGGACTAGCACTCTAGGCCTGTTGAGTCTCAAACTCGGATCTGCCTGCCTCTGCTCCTGAGAGTTGGCACTAATCGTGTGTGCCACCACTGCCCAGCTTATTTCGTAGTTGGAGTGGGTCAGGATCTGGAAGCAGCATGGTTAGGGAGTGTCTCAAGGCTCCATCCTTCTTGGGCTGTTGTCATGCAAGGGCTGGACTGGGTCTGGGTGGTCTGCTCCCCGGTGGTTGGTGCATTCCGGTTTTTGAAGTACTGTTAGGAGAAAGACCAAACATAGAGACAGATGCAAAAAGGAGCCTACGAGACCAGGGCAGGACAGAGATTAAGTGAGGGAGAGCTGCTTTGGGGGCCTGGGGCTCTACCAGAGACTCTGGGGTTGCTTTGCCTTTTGGGTTAGGTTCTTTGTTTTTGTTTATTTTAGTTTAGATTTATTTATTTTATATCTATGAGTATTTTCTTTGCATGTATGTCTGCATACCAGAAGAGGGCATTAGATCCCATGGGACTACAGTTATAGTGTTAAGCCAGGTTCACGGGACCCTCAGAGACCACCAGGAGACGACTCGATGCAATTGCAAGAGAGCTTTATTACGAGAGCGATTGAACTCGGGACCCAAGTCTCACTGGTGCAGCAGTAGAGAAGTGGGACCCCGAGCTCTGAGTGAACAGGATTTTTAAAGGGAAAGTCTGTGAGCCAGGGGTTTCCATGGCAGCAAGCAGGGGGGCACAAGCCTTGGCATTACAGAATTGGGTGAAGTTTAGCAGGGCGGGGTGACCTTTTCTGAGGCACATAATCACAATGGCTAAAGCATATAATCACAATGGCTATTTTTCTAAACTATATCTGAAACATTGGGGAGAATTTTCCCACCCAATTCTCAACCGATTCCCATTGATTATTGCCAGGGAGTTTGTCTCTATTTTCTATGAAGCATTTATTCTGTTATATTTCCTGGAGGCTGTTGCTAGGAGAGTTAACTTTGTTTTCTGCCAGGTGTATATCCTGTGATATTTCCTGGTACCTGAATTCAGTTCCCAGTCAAGATCTTTATTTCAAAATGGAGTTATATTCAGGCTATCTTAAGCTCTTCAATAGAAGGTTGTAAGCTGCCATGTGGGTGCTGGGAATTGAACCTAAGGTCCTCTGAAAGAGCAGGCTGTGCTTTTGACTACTGAGCCACCTCCCCAGTGCTCCCTTAATTTCATGTTTAAGATTTATTTTATTTTATGTATATGAATGTTTGCCTCTCTGTATGCATGTCCACCGCACGCAGATAATGTCTGCATGGTGCAGAAAAGGGAGTCACATCCCCTGAGACTGGAGGTCCAGGAGGTTATGAGCCCAGGTCCTCTGCAATAACAGCAATAACAGCCAGTGCTCTCAACCTCTGAGCCTTCTCTCCAGCTCTCTGCTTGTTTGTTTTTCTTTTAAATTAGTGTATATGTTTGTGTCTGTGTGTGGGTATAGGTTGCCCTTGGAGACCAGGAGAGGGTGTCAGATCATCTGTAGCCACATGTGAGCGGTAGAAAGGGAATTGAGGTTCTCTCTGACTGTTGACCTATCTCTCCAGCCTCTGTTAGGTTCTTAAGGGCTGTTTCTGTCTTAGATTGTAAGCTGACTTTTAATTTTTTACCTACTGGGGAAGAAAGTATTCATATTTATTTAGTGTTTGTGGAAACTCTTTATCTATGCCTTGATCTGGAGTAGCAGTTCTTGACCTGTGGGTCATGACTCCTTTGGGAGGGGGTTGACGAATGACGCTTTCACAGGGGTCACCCAAGACCATCAGAAGGCACAGATATTTACATTATGATTCATAACAATAGCAAAATGACAGTTATGAAGTAGCAGTGAAGTAATTTTGTGGTCGGGGTCACCCCAACATGAGGAGCTGTATTAAAGGGTCACAGCATTAGGAAGGGTGAGAACTGCTGGTCTGGAGACAGGAAGGGTAGCTTATAATCATGCAACCACCACTAACACCTGACATGGAGCGTTGGGCTGGGTGCAGGGCAGGTGATGAGGGAGACACTATCGTGAAACTAGATTTCTTCTCAAACCTGTGGTCATCTGCCTGCTGCTTCTCTCTTTGTAACTATTGAATGACCTTGAGATGGAGGCTTCAGCACTTGACCAGGCTGAAGAGAACGGAAGTGTTCATTGTGGTTAGATACTTATGTGATGTGTCCAGGCTCAGGGCAGGTAGGCTAGGGTGCACACAGGGCATTGCTTGTTTTGTTCATCCTTTCCATAGTAGGGGTATAGCTTGCCCCCATTTTTTTTCTATGCCCCATTGGTAGCCTTGCTCCCATGTAAGCAAGCACATAAATCAATAATGTAAAGATGCTGTAGCTAGTTTGGGGGTAGAGAATGTCTTGGGAAACAGTAATGGCTTCTTCCCTGCCCAACATGAAGGTCATTAGCATTCAGCACGCCCCATTCCACTCTGCTACTCATGCCACAAGACACATTGGAAAGGGCAGGAAAGCAGTGCCAGGGAAGTCAGAGTAGGTAAAATGGAGGCCTCTAACTTACAGAATTCTAACTTGTGCCCTTGACTTAGTCTGTCCACGTTGCATTTTTATCCCACAGTGGAGAACACGCAACTGACCCTGAACCTGCAGACGGAGAACAAAGGCAGTGTTGTCTCAGGAGGAGAGCTGACAATTTTCCTGGATGGGCCAACTGTTGATCTGGGAAGTGTGCCTAATGGCAGTGCTGTGACAGACGGTGAGTGCCACCCTGCTCCCCAGACTGTGCCAGGATAGGGCGGGTGGGCAGAGATGCTGAGAGCTTGGTTGTTTCCAAGGCGTCTTTAGCCAGCCCTGTCTTAAAGCTAACTCTGCCTCTTCTTGGTCTCCCAGGGCAAAACATGACATGGTTTTCAAGGACCAAAATAAATGTCCCATCTCTGTATGTGATTGTTTGGATCGAAGGCAGAGTGAAGCGACTTTTTATCCCACGTGGGCCTTGGAAATAAACCCTCGTTAGCAAATGTGACTCTAACTAAACCCTCTGGGGATCCTGGTGTGCTCTTACGAGACAGTGTTGTCTAGGGAAGAACTGTGCAGCCTGGTGGAGTCACAAGCTAGCAAAAAAGGATGGGCTGAAGCAGGGATAGTGAGTGTCCCCAGCTCTGACCTGAATGTTTGGAGTATTGGTCGTTTGTTCCATTTGATCTTGTCTGAAATTAGTCGCTTCAGGATCTAGCAGGAAATTATTTCATGGACTGTAAGGTCTGAAATGGGTTGTTTCTCTCTCCTTTTTCTCATTAAATGTTTTGTTAGGTGCGATGTAACATGGAGCTTCTTGGGCTAAGCACACTTTCCGTAGCGTCAGGTGAAGTGTGACCTCCCAGTTCAAAGGCACAGTGGAATCTCAGTGGTTGGAAAGGACTTAGCTGTTGAGAAGTTTCTGCTCTGGGGCTGGAGAGACAGCTCAGCAGTGAGAGTGCTGGCTGATCTCATGGAGAACCTGGGTTTGGCTCCCAGCACCCACATGGCAGCTCATAGCCATCTGTAACTCCAGTTCCAGGGAATCCGATGCCTTCTTACCTTCACCACATCAGGCACACACATGATGCACAAGCATACAGGCAGATAGATAGATAGATAGATAGATAGATAGATAGATAGATAGATAGATAGATAGATAGATAGA